CTGCTGATGCCCAGAAAACCGCTTTCGCACACAACAGCAAAGGGGAAATTAAAGCACAAATTCACTGGTGCTATCCAGGTGCTTGCAGACTACAAGGCAGCTGAGAGGTCACGCTACACTCACACTGTGAACTCCCAATGCTCAGCAAAGATAGGCACCAGGGCAGGCGTTACAGCTAGATTAAGGGTAAGAAAGATTTTAACACAGGTGGACCGCAACACAAAGTCTACAGGGTTCAAATCAAGTCTCCCTGTCTGTAGGTCTGGGCCCGTTCTCCAGATCAGGTTCCCGCATCACCAACCTCTTGCAAGAAGCACGGACCCACAGCAGAGTCAAATTGGCATTTCCATACTACTTTTAGCCAAAACCCCACATCAAAGTTTTATTCTTAATACCCAAATATTTAGTCGTGCAGTATTTCTTGTGGCTCAGAGATGGGAAAACCAGGTATGAACCACTACTGCCATCAGCATAGCTGTGGTACTGGGGAACTCCGCAGGAGCTAGGAACCCTCAAAGTAGGTTTCTCAAGCAGGTTCTGTGTGCTGGCACCAACCTCCCTGCTATTACGGTGACATTACAAGCAACAGCCAGCCCAGCCAAGCTAAAGCTATTCTGAGTATTTACACAGACTAAAAACTACCCACAGCATATACTTTGGTATCACCAGGCTTTAAAACATCACCATCCAAGAAACAGCAATACTCTACGAGACCTTTAGATAGTTTACCTACTCACCTCAGTTCATATACTTCTTTGCAGTGATGACCCCAGTAAAACATTTTTAATTTGAATGGTGGCATTTTGGCAACTGCCTCCAGATAACAAGGTTTCTTACTGAACTGAGATTAACAGAGTCCAACATATTCAAGTCGCCTAAATAAGTGAAATCCCATAGAGACAGGACGCATCCCCAGCGATTCAGCTGCAAGATGAAGTCTTTCTTGCCACCGTGATTTTAAGGGCACATAGACTGGGTGGAAAAGAGAAAAGACCTTGAGACTACCAGAAAATGTTCTCGCTGGCTTAGGGAAGGCAGCTTTGAGGTGTCAGTAGGGGGGCTGCAGCTGGAACAATACCTCCACCCCCCAGCGGGGCAGGGGAAGCCGCTTTCTGCAGGAAAAGCAGCGGTTTGGCACTGAAGGTGCCCGCATCTCAAGCGCCAGCAGCCCCCCGCCTCGGGGGCACCGCCAGCGCCTCCCCACCGCCGCCCAGCACCAGACTACCTGCCCCGACCCGCGCCGC